TTCCCTCAAAAAATAAAAAAAGCAAAAGGAAAAGGATATGGGAAAGAGAAAGAAAGAACAAACCCAAAAAGACAAAAATATTGTTTCCTCACCACTTAAATACAAAAAGGGACCTAAAAAACTTGAACCCTACTGAAAAGGGGAAAATTGAAGAAACAGGAAAGGGAAATAAACAGGCGGCGAAAAAGGGGTATCAAGACTAGAGAACTGGGCCAGAAGAGGGGAGAGGAGAGAGAGAAGAGAGAGAAAACATGAGAGAGAGAGAGTCGAGCTTAAGGAGAAGAGAGAGGGGAGAGAAGAGAAAAGGGGAGAGAGACGGGAGAGAGAGAGCGAGAGAGAGAGAGAGGAGAGAAGAAGGAAGAGGAGAGAGAGATTAGAGAGAGGGGAAGGGGGAAAAGGGAAAAGGAGGACGAGAAGGGAAGGCGAGAGAGAGAGAGAGAGGGGAGAGAGAGAGGGGAGAGAGGGGGGAGAGAGAGAGGAGAGAAAAGAGAGGAGAGAGAGAGGAGGAGAGGGAGAGAGGGAGAGAGAGAGAGAGAGAGAGAGAGAGAGAGAGGTTTGTGAGGGAGGGAAGCCTCCACGTTAGCATGGAAACCAGGCAGCTAGTCAGCACTCTCCTCTAGCTATGGTGGAATTCAACACACAGACCCAGGCCAATCGCCGTAGAGTGACCATAAACAGACATGAACGTTTATATTCGGTTTCCTGTGTGTGCATGCATGCAGTGTGTGTGTGTGTGCTAGTATGTGAGCAGCACTAGTGGGGGGGGTGCAAATGTGTGTTATGAGTGAGGGAGAGGGAGGGTAAGAGTGTGTTTTGGTTCAGTCGTATGGGCAGGCCCACTCTGATGGACACACATACTCACACACACACAGAATGTGTAGAATATCTGTGGCTCCGGCATTTCCTGGCTCTGAGAGCTGAATGTGCCCACTGTTGCTATGCAGCCATGTTTTTAAACCCATTTATGTTTGACTAAGTTTCCTCCCTGCAAATGAAAGCACCCGGTCTGTCTCAGAACCTGTGGACACGCAATGGCTGCATTACACCCTTTACACTAGTTTAAAGTCCACTTCAGTCCACTTTTGAAAATTGATTTAGCCCTAGTTTATTTCCTGTTAGATTTTATATTCTTACACAACAACATCAAGATTAATCTTGATTACAGTGTATGTTTTAAACAACAACCTTAAGTGGCCATTTCAAATGAGTGGTAGTATTTGGTTCTCAAACTGACCAGCGGAGGCCGTGTGGGCTGAATGCCTGTCTTGACTGAGGGCCACACTGAGGTTTGGATAGAATGTATTTCGAGTGAGGTCATATGCCATTCAGGGGTATTTCCTCATGTAGGTGTCTGCCGCCTAGTTAAAGAACGGTCGCAGCTTGTGTCATGTTTATTTTCACCTCTCACTCACTGATGTTGAATGGCTGTTGTTGTTTGTACTCTGCCTATCAGCCAGTGTGAAAATAGCAGGATAACCTGCATGATCTTTATACAAATACTAAATGATGTACTACAGTATGGTGCTGAACTATCACTGTAGAGGTCATTGGCATAAAAATAGCGTACTATTGGAATGTTGAAACAATGTCAAAGGGCAGGTTGTATGTTCTCAGCTCTCTGTGTTCTATGTTGTTGTGTGTGTGTGAGGCAGGCTCAGGAAGTGCCTGGTACATGACCCCAGGAGAAGAGGATGCAGGTGCAATGCCTGCTGGGGTCTGTTTGTATCATCACCTGATGTGTGTGTGTGTGCGTTGGTTACAATAGATGTGACAATGACAATAGAAGAGACTATACACTGTCTTGCACTAAATTAATAGAGACAATGCAATCTGTTCCCCAAAATGAGATGGATGAGCATCATCAGTCACAAATTGATTTACTCAGAGATTTATCAATGCCTATTAGACACCATTATTTGTTGTTTTGCCACCAGGAAATGGCGGTGCGGGCTCTGAAGCAGACGGGCAGCAGGAACATTGAGGCTGCTCTGGAGTACATCAGTAAGATGGGATACCTGGACCCACGCAACGAACTCATCGTCCGGATCATCAAGCAGACCTCGCCAGGTAACACAACTCATGCACATATATTCTAAACATTGAAATACAATAAGGATATGAACTCACTCACCACTATCATTTCTGTCCACAGGCAAAGGGGGCATGCCAAACGCAATGGACCACAGACCACCATTAGAGGGAACAAGTGAGGGTGCCATGCCTCCCTACCACCAGATGGGGGCACCGATGTATGAGGGCGCTGGTTATGGGCCAGAGGGGCCCTACATGGGTGCCCCTCCTGTCATGAACTACCTGATCCCCCCCTCGGGCGCAGCACAGGGCCCTGCCATGGTTAACCCCATGGGACGCCCGCCCAGTATTGGAGCCTACCCGCCCTCCATGGCCGTCCAGAACAATCCAGGGAACCCCATGTACCCCCCAGGCGCCCCGCAAAAGGCCTACCTAGGCAGCATGGAGCAGGCCATGATTGGCTACAGCGTCCCCGGCCAGCCCCTGCAGCTCCAGCCCCAGGCACCAGGAGGCCCCATCCCCGGACCCCACTACGACTACGGCCACGGCCGGCCTCATATGATGGAGCCCTCGGGCTACAGTGTCAAGAGGAGCGCCTCCTTCCAGAACAAGATGCCACCGCTGGCGCCCGACAACTATGTCAACATGCAGGTGAAAGGGGCCATGGGCCAGAACGGGGGAGGGTACCCCCCTAACCTGTACCTAGCGCCCCACTCCCACCCCCGGCAGTCCAGCCCCACCTCACACCAGGTCCACATGATGTCCCGCTCCCCCGGTGGAGCCACCGCTGCCGCTGCCATGGGGCCAGACTTCTCTGACCTCCCCCAGGGCCTGCTCACGCCCTCCAGAGCCAGTCTCAACCTGGACCTGTATGAGCAGCACCAGCACCACTGGGCCGGTCCCCAGGGGCCTGAGGGGGCCCCTCCAGCCAGGCAGCCCCAGCCTCAGGGGCCCTTCCGGGGAGAGGTGCGGGTCCCCAGCAGGACCAACTCCTTTAACAACCGCTCTGCGCCCCCCAACAACGTCCGGCCCACTTTGGCCACTCCAGCTCCTGGCAAGCAGGACCCGTCCCTGGGTCCGCCCAACACCATCACAGCGGTGACATCGCCCCCCATCCAACAGCCGGTGAAGAGCATCCGGGTGATGAGGCCCGAGCCGAAGACGGCTGTGGGACCGTGTCACCCTGGCTGGTTGGCTGCTCAGGCTGCTCAGGAAGCATCTGAGCCCCTCGCATACATGCCTGAAGAGGCCTACGCTCTGGAGCCTGCCCAGGAGCCCCGCTGTCCACCACCTCCCTACCCCAAAATCCTGCTCATATCTGGGGCTGCTTCAGAGGCAGGGCCCCTGGAGGCACCAGGAGGAGCTATGTGTGGAGCCCCAGACCTCAACACCCCTGGTAGGCCACACAGTGGTAGTGGAGGAGGAGGGGGAAAGGCAGAGGAGAGCCAGGTGAAAGAGAAGACCAAGTCTGGGAAAGGAGAGAAGGCAGTGAAGGACAAGAAGCAGATCCAGACATCGCCGGTGCCGGTCAGGAAGAATGGGCGTGATCAGGAGAAGAGGGAATCGCGCATTAAAAGCTACTCGCCCTTTGCCTTCAAGTTCTACATGGAGCAGCATGTGGAGAATGTGATGAAGACCCATCAGCAGAAACTGAATCGCAGGCTGCAGCTGGAGCAGGAGATGTCCAAGGTGAGACAGGGAGAGAGCTGAAGGTTATTAATCTGAAGAATTCTCCTTGAGGACCTGTGTTGTAGACAACAGCTAGATTGTCCTAAATGCCTAGAACAGCTTGTCCAAAACATTTAGAATTTTTTTTACTCAGGGTTCAGTCCTTTTGACCTCCTTTTGACAGACTGTTATGAAATACAAACAAAAATAAAGCATTTACTAGTGAAGTAATACATTAGTTACTTGTTATCTTATATTAACAGTTGATGGAGACATTCGAAACATGAAACACTTCAAGAATTATAAAATATAATATCATTGCAATAAGGCATGTATATATACAGTATTTTACCAAGGCAACTTATCCTCTTTATTTCTACATTCTTCCCCTTCCTCCAGGCTGGCCTTTCAGAGGCCGAGCAGGAGCAGATGAGGAAGATGCTAAACCAGAAGGAGTCCAACTACAACCGTCTGCGCCGCGCCAAGATGGACAAGGCCATGTTTGTCAAAATCAAGACACTGGGCATCGGGGCCTTCGGCGAGGTGTGCCTGACCCGCAAGGTGGACACAGGAGCCCTGTACGCCATGAAGACGCTGCGCAAGAAGGACGTGCTCAACCGCAACCAGGTGGCCCACGTCAAGGTAAAGCTGAATCCAAAAGATCATGCTGAAGAGATGCTCCTGATGATGTTTCCATGTTATGTCGATGTTATTGTGACGCTATCCACATTGTGTGGACTGGACAATAAAGTGTTTCAAATTTTTTCTAACCCTAAGGCTGAACGTGACATCCTGGCGGAGGCAGACAACGAGTGGGTGGTGCGTCTGTACTACTCTTTCCAGGACCGTGACAGCCTCTACTTTGTCATGGACTACATCCCCGGAGGAGACATGATGAGCCTGCTGATCCGCATGGGCGTCTTCCCCGAACCACTGGCATGCTTCTACGTGGCTGAGCTGACCCTGGCCATCGAGAGCGTCCACAAGATGGGCTTCATCCACCGCGACATCAAGCCTGACAACATCCTCATCGACCTGGACGGACACATCAAGTTGACCGACTTTGGCCTCTGCACCGGCTTCCGCTGGACGCACAACTCCAAGTACTATCAGAAAGGTGAGCAGGGGAAAAGACAGAGGACAAGTTCTTGTCATGTGCTGTTGTATAGATGGCTTTTACTTAATATGATATGATCGATATGTAATGTCTTCTCCTCTCTCCAGGGAGCCACATCAGGCAGGACAGCATGGAGCCCAGTGACTTCTGGGATGACGTGTCCAACTGTCGTTGTGGCGACCGGCTGCAGACCCTGGAGCAGCGGGCAACACGGCAACACCAGCGCTGCCTGGCACACTCCCTGGTGGGCACGCCCAACTACATCGCCCCTGAGGTGCTGCTGCGCAAAGGTGAGGGCAAGAACGGGCATGGTGGAATGGAGTTGTCATACATTTGATAAATAAAGAAGCACATTGTGGTCTTCTTAGTGAGCGGTTGTGGTCTTGTTCCTGCAGGGTACACCCAGCTGTGTGACTGGTGGAGTGTGGGAGTGATCCTCTTTGAGATGCTGGTGGGACAGCCACCCTTCCTGGCCCCGACACCCACCGAGACACAGATAAAGGTTAGTAGTCTGTCGACTCACGGCTCAGTTAAACTACTGAATGTGGAAATGCCATATAACCAGGGGCGGTGTGTTCATTAGGGCGATATGGGCGACGCACTGCCAAACGGGAAAAGGAAGGGATTTTTTTTCTAATCAATTATATCACGGCAACAGTAGTTATCAGTGTTCTAATCTAGACGTCTGATCTGCCACTAAATATCCAATCAGGCTAAAGTCGTGCTTCAAATGGCCCCGCCCCTTTTGGGGCGATTTCAGTCAGGTTGAAAATCGCCCAGGAGTCTCTCATAGACTCTCATGTAAATCTTATTTTTTTCAAATATCAGAGCTTTCAATACAATCTTATGGGTTCCGGGAGGGCTTGCACTTACGCGCTTTCGTCATACGTAACATAAGTAACCATGAACATAACTAAGAAAAGAGTGGGTAGCAGCGTCAATCAATTCACGTACTACTGTCAAGATGGCTAGCTTTGCGAGGCAAAGATGAAACTGAGGGCTCCACCAACCCTGGTATTTTTCTTGGACTTGTCAACTCTGTGGCACAATTAGATGAGGTGTTTGATGACCATCTTAAAAATGCTAAAGTTTTCAAGGGCACATCAAAGACCATTCAAAACGAGCTACTGGAGTGTATGCTAGCGGTCATGAGGGAACATATTGTGGAGGAGGTGAAGTCGGCGAACTTCGTAGCTATCCAAGCTGACGAGACCACGGACGTTTCTACACAGACACAGCTGGTGCTTGTGCTGAGGTACATAGATAGCAACCACAAAGTGCAGGAGTGCTTTTTTGAGTTCCTTCCCATCTCGGAATCAACCTCAGTCTCAATCGCCAGTGTGCTTTTGGAGAGACTGAACGGTCTTTTTGCCGACGACGAGAAAGTCAAACTCATTGCGCAAGCTTACGATGGAGCCAGTGTGATGAGGGGAGAGAAGGCTGTTGTGCAGCAAAAGGTGCGTGAGCATTTCAAGAATGCCCATTACGTGCATTGCTATGCGCATCAGCTGAATTTGATCATGCAGCAAGCTAGAACAGTTTCAGTACAAGTAATGTAGCCTCTCTCTCTCTTTGTCCCTCCCTGTCTGTCTCTTTAACACACACACGCCCAAATCAGTTCACAGTTGATGTTGTTTAAAATAGTTATTTTTCATTTAAAAAAAAGTAAAAAAAATAAATAAATCTGTTCATGTTCATTTTTACAAATCTATACAATTGGCCAGAATATGGTTGTTCATATTTACAAATTTATACAATTGGCCAGAATATGGTTGTTCATTTTTACAAAGCCATACAGATAGCTGTGTTTACCTTTTCTATAAATTATTTGCAAATTCTGTTTTCAGGCAAAATGTCTATCACTGTTCATTTTCACAAATCTATACAAGAGGGCAGAATATGGAAGTCTATAAAAATTTCTTATTACCAATAACTTGCATCAATGTTTTCAGTAGCCTCTATCAAAAGCTCCTGCTTGCTTGTTGTGAATTATGCTCAGGTGCACATATTTCCAATTCAACCATGAGGCCTTTTTGAAGCAAGTAATGTGTATATCAGTATTGACTTATATGCTGCCCCTGTCTTCATGTTGTTGCTGGACATATCTTTTTTTAAATGTGTGTAGGTCACCTAAATCATCAGAAAAATTGCCCCCCCTGAGAATTTTTTCAGTAGCCGCCACTGCATATAACTAATACATTTTTGCTCTGAAACATAGTTTCCTCACAGTCTCCCTCTTCCCTTTCCTCTTTAGGTGATAAACTGGGAGAGCACGCTGCAGGTGCCCCCACAGGTCAAGCTCAGCCCAGAGGCTGTCGACATCATCGGCCGTCTCTGCTGCTCTCCCGAGGAGCGTCTTGGGAGCAACGGCGCCGGCGAGATCAAGACTCACCCCTTCTTCGACCAGATGGACTTCTCCAGCAACCTGCGCACCCAGCCCGCCCCCTACCGGCCCAAGATAGCCCACCCCATGGACACATCCAACTTCGACCCAGTGGAGGAGGAGGGGGGTCCCGGGGCGTGGAGTGACAGCGGGGACAGCACACGGGCCTGGGAGACCCTCTGCACCCCACACGGGAAACATCCGGAGCACGCTTTCTACGAGTTCACCTTTCGCAGGTTTTTTGATGACAACGGCTGCCCCTTCCGCTACCCCAAGCCCCCTGAGATCAGCCACAGCCAGGGGCCTCCCAGCAGCAGCGGAGCCAGCAGCATGGGCCCTGAGGAGGAAGAGGAAGAGGAGGAGGGGGAGGAAGAGCAGGGGGAGCCTGTGTATGTGTAGAAGAGCCCAGACTGTTGGCTTTCTGAACCATGACCCCCCCCCCCCTCTCTGTCCGACAATCAACACTCAGCACGTGGGGTCCTGGCTGCCAACTTTCCATCTACCACTGTTCTTCTCAGAAGTGTGAATGTGTGTTCGTGTGTGTGTGCGTGCCTCTGTATACGTGTGTGTGTGTGTGTGTGTGTGTGTGTGTGTGTGTGTGTGTGTGGGTTTGAGCGACTGAGAGCGAGTGAGATATTGAGAACAGGACGGCCTGACATCTGTTTAACAATTCAGACACTACTGTGTGGAATCTCCAGCGTGAGCAAAGACTACAATAAGAATCCCTGATCTGGGACCAATAAACAACTAACTGTACAAGGACTAGGGATGGAATAATGATGCCAGAGGACGGTTCTGAAAACAAACTAATCAGAACAGGAACAGATAGGTCTTCTATGGAAATTAAAAGTATCCGTTGTGCTGTGGAGGTTTACAAAAGTGTTCAGATAAGAGTTTGACACTGGGACCGTAACCATGCGTGGTTCTAGTGCTCTATCCCATTCCTTCGCCTTGGGTCTTACAGAGATCTCTTCTTCCAGGTTAGCCTTACCCCAGGAAGTAAACACAAACACTTCCTGGACTTCAGGTTGGACTGGACTGAATTAGCTGGTGGTAGAGGGGAAGAATCAAAATGCAACACTTCTCACACAGCTGTGACAAAATAAGTTACCAAAATACAAATTCACATGCGCACATTAACACTTTAAAGGATGGTTGAACTACACAATCTAGGAGGAAGCAATGGGGTTGTCCTCTGCAGCTAACCACCCTAAAGCCTTGTGCATACTGGTTGCATAAAACTGTATGCATTCCGACGGAAGTCTATTCATTTCAATGGGAGGCAATTCTCACCGCTGTGACTCATCTGCCGGACCCAGTTGCGGTGCTTGGCGCTGCGTGCAGTGTGTCGCATGCATGCGTTGGATTTTTCCAACTTGGGCTGTTGCTTTGCCGTGCGGTATCAGGAACGGAAGTAGATAAACCACCGTAGAAGTTTCTAATGTGTAGCATGATTATTTTTGTTATGATGAGGTGAATGGATTGCGAAGACTATGTAAAATTTACCATACGGCAATGTAATAATGCAACCTGTGTGCCGTTTTTCAAAGTTAGACAGTCTTTCTTATTTTTTTCCTCATCTTATTCAACTGTTACCATGCACCTGCAAAAAAGATAGCTCTGATGTGCTAGTGCCTTTTGAATGATGGAAGTTAGAGAGTCTGACATGTAAGTCTAGGCATTCCCCAGCTGTGTCTCCTACCTTTAGCTTCACTAACTTTTTTTCCAAATAGGAGATGTGGGATGACGCCCAGTTCCCACCCACCCCTAAACGTCTTCAGGATTCTGTTCCCAGGGGAATGGTTGTGACGGGTAAATACTCGTAGCAACAACAACAAATTCCTTTGGTTGAAGTGCCAGCTGCGAGATACATGGATGACATTGTTAATAGAGTCAGTCAATTCCACTCTTGATATTATTATGATGAATATGTTTTATTGAGCAAATTTTGAAGAGTTCTGAGGAAGGTGGACTGCAAGTGTGTAATCATTGCTTTGTTACAGATATGGATCTCATGATTACATACATGTTTGCTAAGCAGTCACACCTATCCATGTCTCCACACAACACATACAGTACACCTGCTCTAAGACTGTCATGTACAGTGACATTGTTGGCGCTAAGAGCAGTGTATTTTAGCCTCCTTGACAAAAGCCCTACCAGCTGGTGCACCACTTACACACACGCTCAGTATTATACAGTTAACACATCTGAGTGTCCACACAGTCTCCTCGGTCCGTATGGAGACAGATATGTGATAGTATGACTATGTGCAATACAGAAAATACAATATATAGTTTTCTAAAAACTTACAATTACCCTTTTGACCTTGTAATACTGAAACACGCTATGTACAAATATACATTATATTGGTTTATATATTTTCCGTATAGTTACATGACCCCATGCTGCTTATTATTGTGATTAATATTATTATTATTTACATTATTTCATTTATACGTACTTCTTTCCTTTTATGCAAGTGTGGGTTTGATTGCCAGTGTGTTTGGTTTGGAAAGTGACGAACTGTGTGCCTTCTAGATGAATGTTGGTGCGTATCTATCCACCACAAGATGATGATGATCAGTGTTTGTGCAGAATAATGACAGCAGCCTTCCTACTCTGCAACCGGGCTGGCCCTGTGTGTAGGAGAGTAGGGCGGAAGAGAGGAAGAGACAGACATAGTGATAGAGAAAGAAAGATGCGTTTCAGAGTCAGACACAAAAAGAAAGCAAGGCAGGATTGGTTATAAAATGAAAAATATATGAATGAATAGCTTTCTCTATATTACAAGAACAGGTATGGCAAATGACAAAGACTTATGTATTATTGGTACATTTTAATGCATCCTAATGACCACATGTTAATTTGACCATTGATATTATGCTTGGGTTACATAAATGTGTTGTGTTATGCAGCGGAGCACTGCTCAAAGCAGGAAATGCTTTATTTTCTCCAATATCTCTAAACTATATGCTTTTTGACAATCAGCCATTGACGCAGTCTTGTATGTCCAACTGAATAACTGTACAACAGTATTCCATATTTGATTGTCATACTGACTGGGAAGGATCAGGAAGTTGCAAGTTCTGCCTTATGTCAATTCCCATACATTGAGTGCACCCATATCTCAAAGATCAAATTTGTGACAAGATGTAAGTGAGGGGAATATTTTAAACAATTACAATTGTTGTTTAAACGTGTCAATAATGTTTTTGCTCACCTGCATGACAAAATGAATTGAAATTGACATTTTTCTAACGTGCCTCATGTCTTCAGGATTGGGCAGCAAATTAACTTAATTTGATCATTGTTGTCAACGCAAGTAGGATTGCCAATCCACATTCACCAGGATGGACTACTCAGTGAAAAATAGCTTTATAGAGAAACTGTGCTCACCAAGTCAGTTTTCTAGTGTTTGTGAGTGTTTGTGTGTGAGGTGTGCCCTGGATGATGTGTGTGTTCCCTGTATCTGAGTTTTGAAAGTGATGACTGACAATCTTTGACTGATTTGAGATCTAATGTAGTGACTCATGATGTAACTTACTTGTGTACCTTTTTGTATTTTTACCCTCGGGAGTTTCTCATGTCTTCGATCCTCCTTAATGTATAATACAATTCTGTAACTCTTGAATATATATTTATACAGATATACATACTTTTTAAAATCTTTATTCTTTTGAATTTCCTCTGAGCTAATGTTCAAACATCCTTGTCTGCAGTATTATAGACAGTATAATTTGGACAACATATATCTCCTTTTTTACATATGTATGAATTGAGAATTTGTAAAAATGCTTTCACTGTCCTCACATGTAAAATATATGTATAAATTAAATTAACCAGCTTCGACTTGGGTTGTGATTTCAAAACCCTCTAACAATGTTATGTCTGGATGAATAATATGATTGATTCTTGTTGGCTTTGAATATTAGGCTTAAACAATTTTAGCAGAAAATGTAGAAGTGGTTATTACACTGTGTACAAAACATTAGGAACACCTGCTCTTTTCATGACATAGACTGACCAGGTGAATCCAGGTGAAAGCTATGATTCCTTATTGATGTCACCTGTTAAATCCACTTAAATCAGTATAGATGAAGGGGAGGAGACAGGTTAAAGAAGGATTTTTAATCCTTGAGACAATTGAGACATGGATTGTGTATGTGTGCCACTCAGAGGGTGAATGGGCAAGACAAAATATTCAAATGCCTTTGAACGGGGTATGGTAGTAGGTGCCAGGCACAACGGTTTGAGTGTGTCAAGAACGCTGCTGGGTTTTTCACGCTCAACAGTTTCACATGTGTATCAAGAATGGTCCGCCTCCCAAAGGACTTCCAGCCAACTTGACAAAACAGTGGGAAGCATTAGAGTCAACATGGTCCCAGCATCCCTGTGGAATGCTTTCGACACCTTGTAGAGTCCATGCCCGACAAATGTAAGCTGTTCTGAGGGCAAAAGGGGGTACAACTCAATATTAAGAAGGTGTTCCTAATGTTTTGTACACTCAGTGTATGTCTGTGTTGATTTGAGAAAAGTGAAACACACTGTGATCAGTTCATTTTTTTTTTTTTACTTTTACAGGAATTTGTCTTGCATTCAAGAGCATTGAGTTTAGACAACAGAGCTATATACACAAACAAGCTATGGGTTTACAGTAGTTACAGCACATACAGTAGATGATAAATACAGTGCAAAAAAAAGAGTTAACGCAAAACACGATCAATTATGAATACAGTGCAAAGTCACAATGTCCACATGACTCTTCTTTCGGTCCCAGGCTACTTAAAAGTGCCGATTGCATGTTGTGCAGTTTACTGCTCCTAGGGACAAAAGGGTTCAGAGTCGTTTGTCCTAACCGTGGGGATACGGACACTAGGACTAGTTCTGCATTGGGGTCTGCCTCGTAGAATCTGTGGATGGTGTGTGTGTGGAGTGTGACAGGTCCACACACATCAGCAAGATCGACAGGCCATACTGTATGTGCAAAAGAAAATAGGACAATATTCAGGGTAGAGTTTGGGGTTCTTTGGGGTTTTGTAGTAGCCTGGCTGACGTCACTCACGTCGTACATAGCAAGGGAGAGCTGTGACACATTGGTCTGGACAGGAGTCCGTTGTTGGTGCAATCTTCACGCAAAAGTTGGCTCAAACTTTGATTGGTTCTCTCAAATGTATTTTTTTTTCCCTGGTGAGTTGAGTCCTCTCATTCTTTGGATTTGAAAATCCAACAGTTGTGTTGGTAAGGGGTGGCGCTCGGGGGCTGTGTGTAGCTTTCTATGTGGGGTGTTTGAGTGAGAAAGAGGAGAACCAATCAGTAAAGCACAGACCCCTTCATTATCTACCCTTCGTGCATACAACATCAAGGAGCCTTTCCAGACTCTGAGGTCAGGAAGACTT